AATGTATGGATTGTTATGAGAGCTGTAATAGTACCCAATAAAATGATCTTAAAAAAATAAATCAGTTCATCTTATGTAAAATCTTCATCTACATAGCCCCACAACCCTTTTCAATAAAATAAAAACCAAAATGGGCTCAAACATTTTTCTGATGTACAATTTCCCAAGACACAAAACCATTTTACTTCTTTTAATTTCACAAGCATAAGGTATTTTAGTTTTAGCTTTCCAAGACACTGGAGGAGAAACTAATGACAAAATGAAAAGTTTTAAATTGTTTTTTTAAATAAAAAAAAGAGGCAAGGAAAACTCAGGGCCCTGTACCATACCATACAACAAGCAAAAAATTTTATCTCAATCCAAGGCTCTCCTTATAACCATCAACAAAGTTTGGGCAGAGAGGGTGGGAGGAGAGCAGGGTGTTAGATGTATTCTATGGTAGCAGCCACCTGTAGTTAACCACACATCACGTCTGTTTCAGTAAAGCCCCTTTTAGACTGGTCAAGTCTGAATGAACAGTAAATGAGAATCATTTGTGAACTCAAATCATACTTACCGTCCCATTTAAAACTTTCATTTTGTTAAAATATCATTCTCACACATGAAATGCCCTAGCATTTTGCCTTCAGTGATTGTGGCTACTTGTAAAATCTACCTCATGAATGTTGACTGACAAGCAGTTTCCATCTACTTAGTATGCAAGCTGCAATAGTTTGTCTAATTTTGTATACTTAAGATCAGCCATGTGACTAACATACAGTAGGTAACTCAAGAGACGTACTGCCATCAAGTCGATTCTGACTCATAGTGACCGTAGGTAGACTGTCTAAGATGACAGAGCGTTACAGAGGCAGAGCACCTCATTTTCCTACGACAGAGCAGCTGGTGGGTTTGATCACCAAACCTGTGGTTAGCAGCCCAACATCCAGCCCACAGCACCAACAGGACTCCGTAGGTACTCAATACCAATGTTTAATGAATGAAAACATTCTTCATTCACACATTAATACTTGCCTCTCTGAGTATTTTGATACTTTACAATGAGTGTTCTTAGTGAGCTGTGTCTGTACACTGGGTATCTTCAGTTTAACACTTGCCACTCTTGCGTAAATATGAACATAAATGCCACCGGATAATTTCCAGTATACATTAAAGTCACTAAACAGAAGTTCGTCTAAATTCAATAATGAAATCCTAGTGGTTCCCAAATCGTGGGCATCTGGAGACTCTGAGAGTCACTGAATAACTTTAATTGTCTTCATATAATTTAAACAAATAATAATAAGCAGCACATAAGAAAATATATTTGTCTTCCATTAAACTAGACCCTGAAGAAATATATAAAAATGGAAAGCAATGCCATCCTTCCCAATAAATTCCTTTGAAGAATGTTATTTTTCATAAAAATAGTATTTTTGTGAACCTAACAAGTTTATGACTTTTAATTAGTTTCTAAAATTTTCTCCATTTTAACTTTAAAAGAATAATTATCGATAGTCATAACCCATGTAATCTAGCTTTTGGGAGTCCTCAGTAACTGAGGAGTGTAAAGGGGCCCCAAGACCAAAAAGGTTGAGAATCATTGTCTTCAACTGACATTAAGCAAGGTAAAATTGAAAATATATTCATTACATGATTTTTCTTTTTGAGCTCTAAGAAGCTCAAAGCATTATTTTTTTTTAAAAAGTACTCCCAAATCAAATTATCATACAAGGAATCATCTACAAAATAAAACTGTATGACTGGGCAACTCTTCAGACTCCTTACCAAGGGCATGTCAGGTAAAAGAGGACTAGAGTCTTCAGGACACCTTTGACTTCCCGATGATAATTTTGTGGTATCTGCAACTTCACCATTGGGCAATATCCCATCTGCAAAGCGCACTCTCTTCTGTTCTTTGGAGCACAGGCCTGAAAGAAGTTGACGAGGTCAGTTCTTTTAATCTGGCACTACTGCAATTGGGTCAGGAAATGTTTTTCAAAGCTCTGTAAAACTTGCCATGCACGTGGTCCAGTTTTACAACTCTCTTTAACATACACCATTCACACAAACACAAAGAGCAGAAATCAACAGGTGGCTATGAATGAATTGTCCAATTGGTTAATGCACAGAGGGGGATAAGCCCTGCTTCGGGCAGCAAAGAAGCAGAGACGACATTTTGTTATTCATCCACTCTGGGGGTAAGTCTTTCTAATTCACACAAAGGCAACGTATTAAATCAGGGCATCCCTGGGAATGAGGTACTTGGAAAATGACTGGCCAGGAGAGGTTATGTCTTAATAACACTGGGGCAGATTTAAAGCCTGCCTCACTGAAGCTAGACTTTGAGTATGGAGTGGAAAGTGAATACATTTAGGGACTAAGGGGCGGGGGCAAAAATGCAGCGGACAGCAGAATGTGCCAGAGATGCAAAGTAAAACATTCAGGAGTAGAAAAGGGCATAAAAAATCTACAGAAAACAAGATCATTTATAAATCAGAGGTCATTTCTTACTTTGAATTTACTTAAGAAACGCAGTGTACCCCTTTTATCCTTATAATGTGGATATTAAACACCACTAAAATATTTGAAAACTACCATATCCCAAATAACCCCAAATTTGATAGGATATAACTACAAATACCATAATTTTTCCTCTATAAATGATCCACAGCAGAAAACTACAAAAATCACTTCCACATGATTTTACTTATTTATTTATTTCCTCAGATGATTTAAAAATAATTATCTACCTTCTGGAACATAATACACATGAACATTGGAAAATATCAAAATCATACATGTATTCTTGATTGTGAGTGAACATATGATACGTTTAAAATGTAATAATTTAGATTGTCAACATGAAACAATCTGTAAATATTGTAATGCAAATTTATTCTGATTTAGAGCTATATTACCCAATGTATACAAATAATCCTTTTTTTCAATGACAGTAAGTGGAAAATAGCTATAGAGAAGACAGAAATAAAGTCTGAAACAATTGTTAAAAGAATCCGCATTAACTGATATTTACTATTTCCAGCATGTAACAGACAAATAGTTTGTGCTTAAAAATGTGCACCTGCCTTCCTCAAGTTCCTAAACTATGGCAGATAATAAGAAAAAGAGATCCTACAATTAAAAGTAGAGTTTTGAAAGAATGGGAGATGTGCAGCTATTAACCTATCTCTCACACTGAAGTCCACCATCCACTGCAGTGTTCTTTGATGGCTGGCTAAGGATTTAGACACTACACTTCCCATACTCCCTTTCTAATTGGCTCTGTTCAAGTTCTGACAATGGCAGGCACTGGTGGGAGATTTGAAGAAACGAGAGTCTCTGTTTCTAGTTTCTGTAGGGATCTTTGCAGTAAAAGCAGTACCAGATAAAGCTGCATGTCCCGTGACTTTCAGTGCTCCTGACATCCTCGGTGGACAATGAATAAGAAAGACTGAAGATGAATCGATGTTTGAATTATGGTGCTGGTGAAGAATTAAAGTACCATGGACTGCCAAAAGCACAAAGAAATCTGTCTCGGAATAAGTACAGCCAGAATGCTCCTTAGAAGCAAGGATGGTGAGACTTTGTCTCACACACTTTGGACATGCTGTCAGAAAGAGACCAGTCTCTAAAGACATCATGTTTGGTAAAGCAGAGGGGCAGAGAAAAAGAGTAAAGCCCCTGACAACATGGACTGACAAAGTAGCTACAACAATGGGCTCAAACATAAGAAGAATTCTGAGGATGGCATAGGACCAGACAGTGTTTTGCTCTGTTGTACACTGGGTCATTAAGAGTTGGAACCGACTTGATGGCAGCTAACAATGTTATCCATCACTAAACCAAAATACATCCTGCAGTCTAAGCATTAACCCTATTACTGGCCCTTTGATGATTCTAGCAGTTGCATGTTGGCATCTGCCCTGACATTAGAGCAGCAGCCACCCACCCGCAGGTCTGAAAATCACGCACCTCTGGAGTTCTTGCACCAGGCTCTGCTAGCATTGTCTCTCTCCTTTGGGCCCCTCAGTGCTAAGGGAGGTAGGTGCTTCATGCCGTGACTAATTTCTGAGTTACTTCAGCACTTACTCTGTGCTCTTCCAGACTACATAAATATACATTTGTAACCAAGATCCTGCACTAAAATTTTCTGGCAGCTAGTCTGCTTTCGATTTCCTAACAGATCTTGACTATGTAGATAAGCAGTCTTTAATCTGGGACATAGCATTTTTTTCTAGTTACCTTCAGCACATGGTTGTTTAAGTGCTGAGTTTGGTACAGCTGATGGTGAAGAATTACTAGATGTTTGGGTCTCCTGGGTAGTCGGGATGGTGGTATATTCATCACAAGAATTCGATTTAAGATTAGAACCAGTTGGACTCATCATCGTTTCAAATGCCTGAGCTATAAAGATGGAAGGGGGAGGGGGGAGAAGGGAGAGAGAATTGACATCTCAGATCATTTTGAACTTTAAAGTATGTTAAAATAAATACTCTATTTTCCTAGTTGTAAGGAGAAAAGAAGAATATCCAAGCAAGAAAAAGAAGCGGCACTTGGCAATGATTAATGTCTGAGTAGCTAGCACAGGCTCCTACTTCAGTTGGCAACATTCCACCTCAGTGCTGTTGCTGTTAGGTTTGACTCACAGCGGCCCCAATAGAAGAAAACACTGCCTACTCCTGCCTATCCTCACAATCATTGCTATGTTGGAGCACAGTGGATCTGGTGCATGAATCAGCTATCTAGATATCAGATTTGGCATGTTTGACCCATACTACAGAAAATCATAGTTGTTGGACAGGACTGTTTCTGCCCTTGTGCCCCTAGATCCTATTTCCAGTATGGTTCAGTCATTCTTCTAAGGCATAAGGCACCTCACATTGTCCCTCTGTTTACTATTCCTTAGCAATTTCTTAACTGGAGTAAAGAGAAAAAAGATTGTTATTACAGTGGTTCAATTTCAACCCCCTGCTGACAATTCTGACTCTTAGCAACCCTACAGGAAAGAGTAAAGCCGCCCATGGGGTTTCCAAGAGCAGCTGGTGAGCTTGAACCACTGACTTTTCAATTAAGGATCCAGCATTTTAATCGTTGTGCCACCAGGTCCTAAATAATCTGCATTCCCACCACCTTCTGACCTGACGTCTAACTATAATCCCATTTACTCACTATGATCCAGCCACCCAGCCGCCTCCTTATTAGCAAGAAAGAACTAGCTAGCTCAAGCCTTCATTCTTTTTGTTGCCTCTGCCTGGAATATTTTCCCATACATACACATAACCTTGATCTCACATTTATCGGAGTCTCTGCTCACGTTTTGTATGATCATACAGCTATACCCTAACCAATTTATGAAAAACTACTTCTTTTATTACCAATCTGTTACTATCTCTCTCACACATTGTTCTATTTTCCGTTAGGGTGTTGTTACCTTCAAACATTTTTTTTACTCAACTGTTCATCTCCCCCCACATTTAAATGTTTCATGAAAACAGAAGAGTCTATTTTGCCTACACACAATGACTGAATATTGCTGTATGAGCCTTCATTCAAATAACTGAACTGGTAGTTTCAACAGTTTTTAATACTGACCTGCTAAACATGCTGCCACTGCTAAAATTGTCTTCTTCCTCAAACGCTGCTAAATGACAGCATGCTCATGAGATGGCTTCCACTAGCCAATGAAATCCAAACTTCTTATTCTGGGCTTCAAGGGTGATTCTGAATTTGTCTTAAACCTCCCTAAAGGCACTCATATGGGTGTTTCCTTGAAATTCACAGTCTCAGTACAACTTCCTCATTATCCAAAGTCTCTATTCAAACTCTCTTTCTTTCAATCTTTTGTGGAAGGTGTCTCACAAACATTGAAGCATCTAGCTCCTCTAATTTAATATGTTATTTTCCCATATGCTACTTGAAACCTTAATGTTGATCCTAAAATAAACCTAATATGTACTTCTGGTACATCAGATCAATGATATATAGAACTATCCATGAAACTACATGCTATATCAAAATAAAATGCATTAACAAATAAATACATAACTTTGTTCCAAAACATTTTCCCTGATCAACCCCAGCTTGATTTCAGCATTTAATTAAATCTCTTTGGTGAGATGTGTCCTCTCCCCACGTCAACCCTGACAGCCAATACTTGTCAGTGCTCAACCCAAACTCCAATCTGCCAACTGAAAAATTGCTGCAAATATTCATAGCTGTTTTGTTTTTAAAGCAGGAGAAATCACTAAGTGGGAGATTGTTCTAACATTTCTGAATTCTAGCAGATTCCCTGGGCTAGCAGCACCAGCTGCTGCCTTTTGGGCTATTGAAGCACCCTGAGGAAAAACCAAACACTTAAATCAACCTCATCATAAACAATGATGATACTGTAAAACTACAAAAGGTTAATAATATTCATTCTGTTATCCTCCAGAGCAGAGGTCAACAGCAGAGTAAAGCAGCTTACTTCAGAGGAACAGACTCACATCAGAACTATTTGGGTAACTGTTGAAAAAAATCTATCTTCATGCAAAAGAGAAAAAAATTGTTTTTATTCTCCTGGTTAATTGGAAGTAGTGTCTGAGTTAGTACACAGGCCTGGTCTACAAAAGTCCCAAGTAATATTTGCTGGGAATTAAATAATCAACAAATATTAGAAAATGCCAAGATGAGCTTAAAAGAACATACATTTGGGTCATGGGTGGAGGCACACATAACATGAAATTGTGAGCACTAAAATAAGACCACCTTGATTGCTGATCAAGGCAGCTAGGCAAGAAGCCAGAGGAAATGATGGAAACACACAATAAAATCCTAAAGTTGCAGAGGGTGGAAAAAAACAAAAACAAACAAACAAAATATATGTATAAACAAACACACGTACATATATAAATATGCAGATCATGTGGCAGTTGTATGAGCTTATCTATAAAATCATACATATGACTACCCGGTATTTTATTCCCATTTCAGGTTGTTACCTATTTAGGTGGGAACTGTGTTCTTGCCCTGTGCTATTAATATATAGTAATGAATACTATGTATTGGTAGATATTCTACAAAAGTTTAGAGTAAGATGATGGATAGCAGTGATGATGACAAAAACCGATGAAATGTAGCATTTCGGGACTTGGTAACCGTTAAGAAGTTAATCGACTGTCACGCCAGAAACTGAATGCTTCCTTCCCAGCCTGGCAGTATTAACTGTGAGAGTAGAACAAAAAGAAGAAAAAAACCAAGGCTTGTCCCACCTAAGCCAGATAAGTCAACACTTAGGGAAATAAAGAAGTTTATCTTTGTCACACTCCAATTCTTTGTATGAATATATTCAATTACTGGAAGAAAATGTGTCAGGTTCACACTCACCTTTACTAATCATCTCATAGCAGACTACACATACTCTTGCTTCCTTTTCTAGATACTGTAGTTTACATTTCCTATTACAACAGACACCACAGAATACCTAGATGAAAAACAATCAATCAGGCAAATTTGTTCACTTTTTCCCCCTTGGACTCATTGTTATTTATTTTTAATTATGGCAAAGATATATACAACAAAACATTCTACAATTCAACAACTTCTACATATATGCCAGTTCCATTGATTATACTCTTCATGTTGTCCAACCATTATTGATATCCTTTTCCAAATTATTCTACCACCATTAACATAAACTCCATGCGCCCTAAGCAAATACTCTTCCCACCTTTGCCCATTGGAAACTAGAGGTCAAGCTCATTTTCTTTCTTTTAGTAGTTTTCTTGATATCACATTCACATATAATACACTTCCACAGTTAAATCACTTTTAAAGAGTTGTATATACATAATCACAATCAGTTCTAATGCTCTCTGCCCCTCAAATCTGTTTGTTTTAAACATATTTAAACCTATTGGAAAGAGGCAGGGGACCCAAACCCTAATTAACAAAATACCATTTTCTTTATTACATAAATAAATGACCATAACTTGGGGTAGTTATTTATTATTTTATTTTTTCACTTAAAATTTCTGCTATTTAAAACCGTATTTCAGATAAGGATTTCTCTTCAATCATTTGTAGGGGAAATTGACTAGAAAGGGGAACAAAAGCGGTGAGGTTCATAAGTCAAAGACTTTCTGCAGTTCTTTATTTTAAATGTTTAAAAATAGAAAGTTGGTATTTTTGCAAGATGATTAAGACTGATTTGAAACCAACATCTTGCTGAAAGACGCTGAATAAAAACACACTTCTTATTTTTACAGCTCCCCCGAGAATTTCCAGACCATGAGCTTAGTCAGAGATCAGATGCAGTCAGCTTCCACCTTCCTGTTCTAGCCTTGGCACTTTTCAGTGCTTCCCTGGACATTGACCACCACACTAACTGCCCTGAACATGGCCTTGAAAATATGTATTAGAGGACAAAAGGGACTGAGCCTGGAACAGCCAGTGTATCAGGATTGGGGTGTTACTGACATATAGTTTTAGATTTCATAAAAATTAGTAACTAAATAGGTGTTCCTTATTTCCTAGCATGTAATACCCATGGCAATGTGGTATTTTACTGAAACATCAAGCAATCTGTAAAGTGGTAATGCTCGTATCAATTACTTTAAACAAATGAGATCTTTTCATTTTCCTTTTAATTATGGCTTATGGGCCATAGTAGGTTTCATTAAAATGTCAATCAAAGAACAAAACGACTTAAAATTTAACTTACTTTCCCACATGCTCTGCAGTGGTGCCTCCGTTTTGTAAAAGTAAATTTGACTTGGCAATTCATACAGTTTGGAGCTTCTGAATCAGGAACCCAAGGAGGAGGCTGTTTCTGCCCCAAAATCAAACCTCCTTTCTGTGGTTTCTCAGGTAAAGGAAGTGATTCTTCGTTTGCAGTTACAAAACTGCATCCAGCTTCAAAATTACTTTCTATGTCAATGTAGTTAGAGTTGAAGCTAACCTGAGGGTCAGTTGCAGAAGTTGTGGTCCCAGTGCTTGGAGCAACGGCACCTGCCTCACTGGGTTCACTTCTGGGAGTATTTGGAACATCTGGCTGATTTAGTTCCTTTGAAGTCCTTGCTCTGGGTGGAAGGTTAAACAACTGTTTAGGTCTGGCTCCTCCCACGTGAACAGATTGATTGTTAATATGAGAGGCTGGTAACTCACTCGGACTCTCAGATTTACTGCTAGATAACCCTTGTTCAGTTGGAATTGTGTTTTCCCCTAAAGAAAGACTGCCATTTTCTGCTGTACTTTGTTGGCTGACGGCTCCACAGATCGCATTAATGCCAGGATGTTCCCCTGTAGCACCTGCTTCGGCATTGAAATATGTATTACTGATGTCTCCATCAACAAGGCCTTTCATATCCATCTGACTCTTTTGAGATACTGAGCCACTTACATTTTCTTCAAAAGGTTTTATGTTAGTGGTCTGAAGATACTGCTTGGTCAAAAAGGCATCAAGTTCAGCATCACTAATTAATGTGCTGCTTTTCATGCCTTCATCAATATTAAAGTAATCTAAGTCTGGCCCATTGGTATCAGTGCTTGAAAAAGGAAGGCCTTTACAGTGATCAGGAGACTCTGGGGCATCAGCAATGGAAAGCTCCGTTGCAGGTTCTGCAGCTGTAGGACTGTTGCTATCTGGGTAATTCAAAGATTCCATTGAGGTTCTGATTTGGACAGGACCTACCTTTTCTGCTCTTATTTTTTCAATTAACAGCTCTGGGGGTATGTTTTTACATTTTTCCTGTTTCAAACGCTCACTCTCCTGAAAGCATTCCCCGGCGAGAAGAACATTCTTCAGTCTTTCTTCTTGCACAGTCACCACATTTTCTATGCTATCTTTATGCTCATTGTGAGGTAAACAATCACCACAAGCTTTACTTTCCATTAAGGATCCACACAAAGACCCAGATACTGGGAGACAGGACAAGGAGGATTGTACACCTTCACTTGAAGTATGGACAGTTGAACGGGAATCTTCAAGTTCATCATTATTATCTTCAATGTTTAAATTTTTCGAGTTTTCTTTTACAGATTGCTTTATGCATAAAGCAACCTTATCTTCTTGAAATGAAAAGTCAGGTGCTCTGACATTTTCTTCTTGTGAATTCGAATCATTTAAACATAAACTTTCATTTTCTGGAAGGGTGCAAGGCAAAACATTTTTACTACCCACTTCTTTTAAAGATTTGGTGGCAGCTCTGACGGCTGCATCTACCTCCTCTTTTACTGAACACCCATCATCTTTTAGTAATTCACTAGTCTGGTCCTCGAGCTGTAAACTGTCTTTGGCAGCAAAAGTCTGAGAACTTTGTTGAGTCAAAGCAGATGGCACGTTAAAGTCAATGGGTTCTAACTGATTAGAGATCTCTTTACCCTTTACATTTTCTGTTCCACTGTAGTTACATGCGTCTGAAAAGGCTGTGTCTGTTTTCTTGCTCAATTCTTTGGCTCTGCAGATTTCTCTGTTTTGTAATTCTGAGTTGGCATCATTCTGTTCCTCGATGACAGGATCACTAACATGATCTGCTGAAAAAACACAAAAAGTCTCTGGCACTGAAGACAGATCCAATCCAATCAAAGAATCTACACTAGACTTAAAATCATCAGGCAATGATGTTTTAATATCTTCGTCACTACTAGTCACATGAACTAAATTACCCATGTCACTTATCAGATCACAGACAGGTTTACCACACCGACCCATGTACAAAGGCTTGCTTTCATCTGAAGTTCCACTATCCACAGAAGAAAGAAGATCGAGTCCTGTGACATTTTTTTCACTTTGTATAGGAGTTAGTCCCTCTTCTAGGGTTGTTTCAGTTAGGGCATTCTGATTTGTCTCAGAGGACGTTTCTGATGAGGCGAAAGTATTAACGCATTGTGGATCCTTTGGTAGTGGTGAAGTTAGTTGGGAGGAGGCCAATTCTGAAGAAACTGAACAGTGATTAGAATCATACACATTTTGTGCTTCGTGGAGATAATCTTGTTCATCTAATTAAAAGAGAGACACATTATTCAGGAGACGGAAATGAAATAAAATTATGAAATGTTATAATTTCTAAAGCTTTCAACCAAGGTAACTATCTCTTTACACCATAGATTGTCCTTTTGCAAAGTAGTAATAATCTAAAACTATTTTTAAAAATAATTTTATTGGGGGCTCATACAGCTCTTATCACAAACCATACTTCCATCCAGTGTGTCGAGCACACATTTGTACATATGTTGCCATCAACATTTTCAAAACATTTTCTTTCTACTTGAGACCTTGGTATCAGTTCCTCATTTTTCCCTCCCTTTCCCACCCTCCCAAACCCTTGATAATTTATATATTATTATTATTATTTTTTCATGTCTTTCACTGACCGATGTCTCCCTTCACCTACTTTCTGTTGTCCATCCCCTTGGGAGGGGATTATATGTAGATCATTGTGATTGGTTCCCCTTTCTCCTCCCACCTTCCCCTTATCTAAAACTATTTTTACTGGACTTTAAAATACTTCTAGTTTCTTACTTTTGAATACAGACCCCATTGTGGTGTGAATTGTACTCAGTAATTCAGGTGCATCATAAAAATCAGACTAAGGAACTGCTGAAGGACAATCTAACTTCCTCGTTCAACCAGACAGGATGCTAGTTCTCTTTCTAACATGAGAAAATATTATCTCTTATAGTAATGAAACACCAGTTTTTGCAGAGTTTTCAAGTTGCTTTTATCTTGCTCATAAATTGGTTTCAAAGACTTTTCTTATATGGAAACTTGTATCTAGAGAGAAACTTTGGTTTTCTTATATCTGCTTCTGGTTATAGATTCCATTCAGTGCAATAAACTATTATGAGGAGCAGCAGGAGGGAGGAGGCCAGCAGGTAGGAGGAGACTGGCAAATGGGAGGAGGGCAACCAGGCATATTGTTGGACCAGCAGCCATTTTGCAGGAGCAGTCTCTAGAAATGGAGCTAAGTATTGGAGGGATCCTGGCAAGACAGCGACCGAGTAGCACACACAGCAAGGACTCCCAAGAGAACAGCGCATGGAGCCACTGAGAGGACTATCACTTCCAGACCACAGGATTTTCAACATAAAGTAGACACAAATTTACTAAAATTAGAGAGCAGCAACAACAGCCAATTAGAATCCCCTTGGTCATCTCCCTGAGGCACTCAACCACCCGAGAGCAGATTCCCAGGTCTGTGAATCAAGGAGCTAGCTGGAGGGGAGGTACCATAGAGCAACAGGGTCATAATTCTAACAGAGCAGACTGGGACTAGGGAAAAGAAAAAATAAATTGCTTTGGCTCTCTATCCAGACCAGAAGACCCCTTGTGGATACCCCCCAGTCAGGGCTCCCCAATACCAGAGACAACACAGCCTACCAAGCCATGTGGGGGTATACTAAGGACGGGGGAAATTCATACATATTATTACTTTTTTCCTCCCAATTTAATTTATTTTCTAGTCCCCTAACATACCATCTACCTAAAGTTAGCACCCACAACAGAGACTAAACTGGGCAAAGCTTAGAGCATGAATAAACATACATTCACAGTTCTCCTATGTCTTATTCTTGCCCCTTCAACTTTCCTTTCTTTAATTCAAATATCTAAAGTTTTAGTTCCAGACATGACTAACCTATCTTTTAGTTTCAATTTTCTTCTAGTCAAACCTTGTTTTACCTCTGCATTCTCATAAAACCAGGAGCTGACACTATTACTACCTCTTTTAAAATCATTTTTTTCTATCAAATACTTGTACCTGTTCTTCCATCATTGAAAATCAGGCATTTTGGGAGCCAAATACCTCTTCCTTTAACCTACCTGATCCCTTCCATTTTAAAAATATTTTTTATTACCTACTGCTCCTTTCACTCTCCCTCCTCTAAAACTTCCTCCTCCACTTTTGGGTTGCTCCCCTAACACCTAATCTAACCCTCTCTTCCAGATACTTAATACAAACTGTCCATCACCCCTCTACTGCTCCACTTAACCCCCCCAAATCACAGCACCTACCTAACACCCCAAAAGCGACTCCAAGACGTCAAAGAAACAACAGAAGACATTGGTGCACACAAGGGAAACAGAAACAAAAAACGAATGCCAACCAGCTTAAATGCAATGCCCGAAATTGAACAGACTGGATATACCAGAAAAAGAATTTAAAAGAATGCTATTTCACTCATGCAACAGTCTGAGAGAAAAGGTGAAATAATAGAAAAGCTAGTAACCTCACTAGAGTACTCCAAACAGAAACACAAAAATCAAACACTACAATAGCACAATTAAACAACATTATAAAGGAACAACATGAAAACTGTACAGATTCCAACCTAAAAGAAAAGAAAAAAATGTAAAAGAGGCTGAGAAAATCTTGAGAACTACGTGGGACACAATTAAGAGGAACAACCTGCATCATACAGGCATTCCAGAAAAGAAGCAAAAAAACCCATACAGAGAATAGTCTAAGAGTTTCTGCAAGAGAGAACTTCCCTCAATGTCTAAAGGAGGAAAAGATCATTATTCTGGAAGCCAAAAGAACCCCAGCCTAGAGAGACCCAAAAGGAAAACTCCCTGGCATATTGTGTTCAAGATGTCTCACATCAAGGACAAGGAAAAAATTCTATGAACAGTCAAAGGAAAAAATATCAATTACACACAAAGGGTCATCAATTAGAATAAACTCAGATTTCTCAGCAGAAACCATGCAGGCAAGAAGAAAATGGAGTGACATATACAGAGTACTAGAGGAAAAAAATTGTCAACCTAGAATCCCGTAGGCAGCAAAATTATCAATCAAATATGATGGTGAAATGAAAGTATTCCCAAGACAAGGAGAATCTAAAAGAATTCACAAGAGACCACAATTATAAAAAATACTCAACCAAGTACTGTCGCCAAAACACCAACAGCAACAACATACCAACCTGAAACCAACAAACAAAGCAATTCCTCACAAAAACAAACACACAGAGAACACCCAAAGCAAAGCAATGACACAGAAAGAAGAAACTAAATACAATACACACACATACATCCAACACACACACACACACACACATAAAGCAAAGTGACAGTAACAAATACATATCAATAATCTTACTGTTAATGGACTAAAGGCACCCGTAACGAGACAGAGAGTAGCAGAATGGATATCAACAAAAACCCATCAATATTCTGCCTACAAGAAACACACTTCACAAACAAAGACATGAACAGATTAAAAATCAGACTGACAAAAGCATATCCAGCAATCAGCAACAAAAAGAGAGCACGGGTAGCAATATTAATCTCTGAGAAGATTGACTTCAAGGCAAACAACGTAGTAAGACATAAGAACGGACACTACATAATGATAAAGGGAATAATAGCTGAGGAACCCTTAACAATAACATATGCACCCAATGAAAGACCCTCAAAATACGTCAATTAAATCCTCACAGAATTGAAGTTATAGAGACACCAACAGTAATAACAGGAAAGACAGAAAGTCAAGAAAAAAACTCAACAAAGACAAAAAAAATCTCATTAACACAATAAAAACAACCTTGTAGACATACATATATAGAATGCTACAAAACAATAGTATACTTTCTTCTCTAACATAAGGAGAATTTTCAAGAATATACCACGTACAATACTATGCTATAATGAAAATTAATGTACTTTTTACAGAAACTAATGATGTAAATTGTTCTTGGAGTACTCTATACCGGAGATAACAGAATTACACATCTGTTAAAAATATTCTCTTACTGAAAAAAATGAAAAATGAACCAACCTGGGTTCTGTTCAAAATCATCAAGGAGTTTGTCCAAGTCACTGACTGCTGCTTTAAAGTAACTGTCCATCCTACCTGCAGATGTATTCAGAATTTAACTCTGGTATACCTAGAAAATAAAAGGTATGATATTACATTTTTTGAATACAGTAATATCAAGTCATCTACTACATGCCAAGAAATACAGTCAGAGAAGATTTCTGTGTTGATGCATCCATAATTAGCTTAGAGAAATTGCCTCAACATACAGATTAAAATGACATGAGAAACAAATCTCACAACCAAACAAATGCATACACAAACTAACAGAAATGTTAAAACATTTATCTAAATAAGTAATTCCTGGGTAGAATTAAAATTAATAAAAATACTTATACTCTATATAAATATACTGTATACATATAAAATATTGCACATAAAAGCTTGTGGGGTTGAGCAAACTGGAACTCCAAGGGCTGTCTAAAGTAATAGTGTAATCAGGGAACCATAAAGAGCAGCAAGACTGAAAAGAGTATCTTCAAAGGAACAACAATCCTTGGAACAGACTTAAAAGCAACAATAGACGCCAGAAAACAAAGGGACAATGTATTCAGAGAACTGAGAAAAAACACCAAGGAGTATTCAGCAAAATAAATTTCAAGAATTAGACAGAAAAAAAAATGTCCCCCCAAATAGTTTATTCACACAAAGCTTTTAAAAGAACATCTAAAGCATGCACTTTCAAAGAAAAATAGCCCCAAAGGAATACATGAGGGAAAGGAACTCACAGCAATTAAAATAAGAGTGATCAAACAAACATTGTTTATAATATCACATTAATGAGGTTAAGAAAGATATTAGTAAAACAGACTTCAATAATATATAAACTAACAGAAGGGTCGTAGACATTAAAATGCTCTAAGAATCTACTAATGCTAATAAATGAATTTTAGCTTTAAGTGTAAGAGTACATGATCAACAAATCAGTCGATAATGAGCAGCTGAAAAGTAAAGAAACAATTCAATTTATAATCACAGCTAAAGAATAAAACACCCAGGAATAAATTTAACGGATGGTAAAATATCGTACACTGAAAACTATAAGACATTAATGAAAGGCTTTGAGACCTAAATAAATGGGAAGACATTTTGTGTTCATGAAATGGAAGAATTTATGGACCTGGAGAACAGTATGCAGAATGAAATTAGCCAATCACAAAAGGACAAATATTTTGAGAACACTGATGATTATAAGGGGGAACAAGATAAAGACTTTCAAACCAAAGGGAGCAGACATTAGAAATTGCCTGGTGGGGAGGAAGTCGAAGGAAGAGAAGATAAAGTAATGGTCCAGATTGATGGTGGTGGGAGGTGAATGGAAGACAGGAATCCACAGGACAGAAAAGAGCAATCAAGGAGCAGGGAAAGGTAAACCGTTGGGGAGTTTGATTACTAATTTAAACTGCTGCATACAAAGTTGAAATGTAAACCCCACCTAATTTACAAATAAAAAGTGGCTTTTAAAAAAGGTATCATTAATACCCAAAGTAACAGATCCAATGTAATCCCTATCAAAATTCCAACAGCCTTTTTAGGCAGAAATGGAACACTCAAATCTCGTTTATGTGGAATTTTAAAGGTACCAAATAAGCTATCTGAAGAAAGAATAATGAAATACGGGAATACTGTAAATGAAACTCATTGTCTTTGAGTTAATCCAACTCACGGCAACCCTGTTACAGAGCAGAACAGCTTCATACACTTTTCATGGCTATCAACTTTACAGAAGCACACCGATGGCCAGGCCCTTTCATCCATGTTGCCTCTGGGTGGATTCAAACATCTAACCTTACGGTTAAGGTGAACTCAAATCCTTTGCAGGGCACAGGAACCTCCAATCAGACTGATATTGATATACTGACAGACATATAAGCCAATGGAATAGAGTCACAAATAAATCCATACATTTTTGGTCAACTGGTTTTCGTCAAGAGTGGCAAGTCCATTCAATGTGTGAAGAATATGCCCTTTAATAAACAGTACTGAGACAAGTGGATTTCCACATGCAGAAGAATAAAGCTGGGTTGATACTTCACACCTCGTGGGAAAAATAAGTTGTGGTAGTTACATAATCTGGAGTCAATTTGAGGATTACGAGTGTGGGGCTGGAGTCTAGGCTGTCAATCGGGATATAACCAATGAGGCAGGCATCTGTGTGGGCATGGCCTTTTACTGAGGATTCTGGGAACTCCTGTATTTCCTCCTTGGAGACAGACAGACTCTTTTCCCCTCTCTCTCTCTCTGCTCACTCCCCGCAAGACAACCCTGCTGAGGAGAAGCCACATGGACCTACCCTGATGCAGCTCTAGTAGCTGGAAAAAACACGTGGAGAGCCCTGCCAGTGCTGTGATGCTTACATTGCCACTCGATCCACAAGATTTCCCACCCACTGGCCTGTGATCTTCCTACATTCAGCATCATTGCATGTGTTTAATGAGTCTGATGAGGACTTTATAGATTGGTATTAGACATTTGGGCTAATATCGGACTTATGGACTTGATCTGGACTGGGCTGGGATGTTTTCTCAATATTCAATTTCTCTTATATATAAAGCTCTTTCTTATACACATATGAATGTCTCACTGGATTTCTCTATTCAATCCAGACTAACACATTATGGCACCTTGGGAGTGGGGTACTAGAGAAACCAATCATAAAGATGGAGAGTGGATCCTTATTTGACTTCTTTCTGCCTCATGATAGTGTTTCTTTTTGGGCTTCCCATAAATCAGCTATCTCCATGAAGTTTACTGGGTTGTTTTCTGGAAAGAATATGGGAAGTTAAAGTTTTGATTATTTTGTTTGGTTGTAGTCTTTGGTTATTCCTGTGTGAAATGGCAAAAATGAATGTTATTAATGTATACTTTGAGCTCAGGGGTAGAAATCACCCCTTGAATTTCTCAGGGCTGCTTAGAAAAAATGGCTGACAGAAGGTCACAATGGCTGACAGAAAGCCTGGCTCTGGGTTTAATGCTCTCAGAGGCCTAATCCCATATTTTGTGTCAATAGTTTAGATAGAGATAACCTAAATAAGGATTGAACTTGACTACTTTAAGAACTGAGTTTAGTACCTGATTCTACTTTTTTAATACTGACTTCTTGATTGAAATAATGATTAATAGAAATGTTTATTGGGAAGTATGAAAATAAGAATTTGTAAGCCCACTTGTCTTCAGCCATTAAAATTGAATCCTTAAATGGGTTTTGGACATGCTTTTGATAAAAGCTTTGAAAAGATATGCCCCACCCAGTGCTTTGAAGTACTCAGGCTGTTTGTATTTGAAGAGTCTCATCTAAGGGGTCATTGTTGACATGACTGACGAAAAAAGAACACTTTGGGTTTTTGAAATTTGAACTCTAGTGATTTTTGTCAGAAGCTGGACAAAATCTGGAACGATGAAGAAAATGCTTCTCTAGGACTGAATGTTAAAGGGAGCCTGTGGGCAAATTGAAATGCTTGCTGGGTGACCACCTGGATCCACTGGCTGAGTTGAAGTGGGAGAAAAGCAGGAATAAAGAGACGGGTTGAGTCTGGCCACTGACACCCGTGGACCTGGTTTACAGGAACTAGAGGAGAAGAAGAGAGCCGGTTGACTGATCTGAAGTTCATAACCTAGCACAAGGGGGCTAGGCTTGTTGAGAATTTGTGATGAGCCCATGGTCTAAAGTCAAGGTGACTAATGGGCACCCTGGTGAGGCTGAGGCCGCCCACATTGAGTTGACCAGAACCTGACCAGATAAAGGAAAGATTTTTCAGCTTGTCAACTAGTGGATATTGCTTCAGACTTTGTGGATGGCCTGTCCTGATTTGACGTTGCTTATAGATGCAGACTAACAAGGTTCCAACTTGAATGAAGATTCTTCATATAGAAAAATATGGTGGTCTACTCAGAGCATTGGATTGTTGTAAGTGGGCAATATAGAAATTGGGTATCCAAAAATATGGGGGATAAAGGCATGAAGTAGTTGGTTTACAAACTTTCATAGGTGGGGGAATATATTCATAGGAATATAAGATTAAGGGATAGGTGTTACTTAACTGCAATTATTAGGCATAGGATATTTTTGTTTTGTTCACTTATAGAATGTTATGTTTAAATGAAGATAGCATTATTTTTTAATTGTATGCTATTAAGTACAGATATAATTTTATTATTGTTTGTTTGAAAATTATATATGGCTAAAGAGTTATGTGAAAGTGTCAAATTGACAAGGGGTGGTAATAGTTAAATAATCTGGTGTCAATTTGAGGATTAAGAGTGTAGGAGTGGGGTCTAGGCTGTCAATCAGGATATAGCTAATGAGGCATCTGTGTGGGCATGGCCTTCTGAGGATTCTGGGACCTCCTGTATTTCCTCCTTGGAGGCAGGAAACTGTCTCTCTCTATGCTCATTCCCTGCGAGACATCCCTGCTGAGAAGCCACATGGACCTATCCTGAAGCAGTCCTGAGAGTTGGAGAAACCACATAGAAACCCCTGCCAGTGCTGAGATGCTTACAATGCCACTGGATCCACAAGACTTACCACCCACTGGCCTGTGATCTTCCTGCATTCAGTGTCACAACATGTGTTTTGTGAGTCTGAAGAGGACTTTATATATTGGTATTGGACATATGGGCTAATATCAGACTTATGGACTTGATTTGGACTAGGCTGGGATGTTCTCAATATTCAATTGCTCTTGTACATAAAGCTCTTTCCTATAGACATATGACTATCTCCCTGGACTTGTTTCTCCAGTCAATCCAGACTAACACATAACTCTAAATGGATGTTGTATCTAAAAGTAAGAGCTAAACTCATAAAGCACTTAGAAGAAAACATAGAGGTAATGATTTGGGACATTGTTTTGAACAAGGGATTCTTGCATATGACACCTAAATGGCACAAACAACAAATGACAAAATACATTCATTAGATTTTATAAAAATTGAAATATTTTGTGCATCAAAGGTTTTGATCAACAAAATGAAAAGAAAAACTGTACAACGAAGAAAATGTTGGGAAACATACTTGTTTATCAAGTAAGGTTCAATATCCAGAATATATAAAGAAT